TTCGGGGCGCAGTTGTGGAGGGAGATGAACAGCTGCTGAGCAATTTCCAAGATATGTTCCGGGAATGTGGGCGACGTGGATCCGATGATGACCTGAAGGAGACTGTGGATTTGCGCGGTGAACGGACGGAAGATAGTCGGGTGTCTTGCGATCAGCTCATTGACAGCTTGGAGCACAACTTCGACGAAGGGCGTGTTCGGCTTGAGTCTCCGAACGGGCTCAGAAGATGGCTTGACGGAGATCAGGTTCAGCGCAGAGGTGATGAATCCTGGCAGAGCCGGAGTGGTGATCTCGCGAACGAGGGTCGGGTATTGGTAGGTCAGGTGGAAGATGCGAGTCAAGGTGATGATGCACATTTTCTTCGTAGAGACGGGGTCGGATTTCTATGCGCAGCAATTCAGCAATTCAGTAAGCATCTATCATGCAGTATGTCTCCCATTGAGCATCTTACAGCCAAAATGCTGATCAGTCCCCGAACAAACGGTTCGCTCGAACGTAGAATCTCCCACTGGCCAGCCTCGACCAGCGCCTTCACAAGCACCACCGCGGTCCAGCGACCTTCATACGTGCGGTCCTGAAGCAGACTTCCCAAGCGAGTAATGAGCTTATGAATCTGAACGGCATTGTCCGAGTCCGTCTTGCCCGATTTCTGGCTTTGGGGAGTTGACAGCAACTCCCCGCAATTGCTGATGGAGGATGCGAGGCATGATGCGAGATGCGGTAGTTGCTTGACAGGCACGTTGGTCAACCGGTGGTTGACGGCATGGAGGGACATGGACATGTAGGCCATCTTCACGAGGGCGAAATTGCACAAGCGACCGCGGCGAAGCAATTGACGGCTCTGGCGCAAGATTGAGTTGATGCTCCAAACTTCCAATTTTCTGGAAATTTTTGGCTTCGACGCTCGGACCACATGAAGCCTCGGGCAATAATACGAGACATTACGTACGTTACGGCGGGTCTCCCCTTAAGATGGTCTCCGCCGTCAACGGAGCCATATTATCTTGTTTCTCTGCTGCCTCAAGTGGGCATTCGTCCCTGTTATGGACGCTGCTTCTTTCTCTTCCCTCCGATTGTAATTATCGATCCCTCCGTCTCTGTCTGACCTTTCCCAATCATGACTGTAAGTGGTGGCTTCTCATTTCACCCCCCTGGGAACGTCTCAATGGCAACCTTGTGAAAGCTTCCCCCTCAATCTGCCACCACATGCCTTCCGCTGACCGAGGCACCGGTTCCCACTCATACAGGGTCGAGACTCTGATAAGGGGCATCGCTATGTTACCGCCCTGGATAATGCGCGTTGCCAGAATAAATGGGAAGAAGTTCCGGAGTTGATTCGAAAAGTCACCAAACATGCTCCGCAGAGAACATGTAATGCCAACTTGCCTTTCCCCGGAAATACTGGCCGACCACCAGATGGACTAATGGAGATGCCACAGGTCTCCTCGAAGTAGCCAGCGCTGAATACCAGCTGGCCTCACACCTTCAAAAGCATCCCTCCACCCCCCGCCCTTCCTCCGCCGCCGGTCTCCATGATCTGATTCCATCACTCCTATCCACCGTCAACCGGGCAGAAGGATCGAAGCAAGAAGTTTTCCAGGCACAGGTCTGCTTGGGATGGGTACATTGGACTGTCAATGAGCTAGGCTTGGCAGCTGCCCGGTTTCCTCAAGATTTTGTAGAGGCCGTAAGTGAGCTCGAGCAGGCAGGGGAAGAGCTCTCGCCATGGACCAAGACATGCCTCGTCAAGGCGTGCTATCTCAAGGGTGCGTTTGCTCCACAGTGAAGATTTGAGGATGTGCACCTGCTAATATATGATAGGTTCTGCACAGCGCATGACCTCCGACCCCGAAGGCGCCCTGGAGACCCTTCATTCGCTTACGCCATGGGTGAACAATCAGCTCCAATCCCCTACAAACAGCGCCCAATTTCTCTACTGGTCTGAGAAACTATTGGGCCAGGGCGCCTCTCTGGCATGCGAGGAAGCCAGCAGAGACCTTGCCGCTGCTAATGCTCAAACGATAGCCACGACGCTAGGTTTCTTCAGACTGTGGGCATCTCATCCTTCAGTCAAGCAAATGACCTTGCCTCAAGGCATGCTTATGGACGGCACTACCGAGCCTTTTTCGAAATCACCGACCTGGAAATCGTACTACAATCTGCTATCAAGTATTTTGCAACAGGGCCTGCCGTATTGCCCTCCTGCAAATGGACCTGAACGCCCGCAGCTTGCCAGTGAAATCCGACGCGTTGAGGGGCTTTGTGAAGCTAGCATCCTGCGCGAGACGAAATTTCCTACAGCTGACTCGAGCAACCCGGAAGTTGAGGCTTGGGTCGAACAAGTCATTCAGAACTGGGAGGTGCTTTGCGGTGCCGGTTGGACAGATGAAGAGCTTGGGGAGGGTGGTCAGAATGCTGTCGGCAGAAATGTTCTTGATGTAAGTTCCAAGTCGAGGGACTGAGGATGGAAAGCAACTTGCTGATAATCTTAGATTCTTTACCGCGCTGCTACCAAGACATACCACTCACACTTGATTTTGCGGCGTCTGTTCCATGTGCATTGTGCACTCGCGGACTATGACCTTGCTCTGAGGGCGCTCGATTCATATATCGAAATCGTCACAAGTGCCAAAGAGCGAGCTGCAAAAGGAGCTGAATCTGGAGACCTGGAAAATGATGGGGTCCTTTTGCGCACCGTGTCGGAGGGTGTTACAATGCTGAGTTGCTTCGGCTCAGAAAAAGAGGCCGAGAAAGCAAAGGATCTCACATCTCTCCTGAAAGAGTTTACCGAGAAGCATGTACAGAATGATGAAGACCAAGGCATGACTCTCGTTGTGCCGGAAACTAGCTCAACCCGCTCCCAGGCAGTCCCCCCATCCGACATCGCTGCAGCTTATAGAGGAATCGGTATCGGGCTTGCTAACTGGGCTTATTGGACTCCCGTGAATGAGGATCGCGACGACATCCGGGCAGAAGCTATTGACTACCTGGAGAGAAGCCTGGCCCCGGAGCTTGAAGACGAGTCGAACTGCTCCTCTCTATATACCCTGGCTGTTCTCCTAGCAGAGAATCGTGATCTAGATGGTGCCATCGACTACGTCAAGTCGGCATTGACATCCGATGCACAGCACAAAACAGGTCAAGCCGATTTTGCTCGAGAAAGAGATCTGGTGCCCCTGTGGCATCTGCTTGCTCTCCTTCTCAGCGCGAAGCAGGACTTCGACATTGCCGAACGCTCGTGTGAAGCCGCATTTGAGCAGTTCCCTGCTACGGTGACGTCCCTCGCCCATAGCGACAGACGACCGCAGAAGCAGAATCACACTGCTCAAGATCAGATCGCGGGCATCACTCATGAGCTTATCGAGAAGCTACGAGTCCGCGAGAAGGAGCGTATTATCGAGACCAGGATGACCCAGTTGGCGTTTGTTGAACTAGTTGAGGGCCCGGGAGCTGCTGTCAACCATAGCGACCAGCTCCTTAGTCTGTTCGCCACACTTTTCCACTCTCTGAACCTGGAAGATAACGAGAAGCCAAATACGAAGGCTGAGCACGAGCACGAGCACCTTGTTCCCCCGAAAAGCTCTGCTGGGACTGTGAAAAGCCTCCGCGGCAGCATCTTTGGTCGCCACAAGGGACCCCGCGCTCCTGAAAGGAGGGCAGATTTTGGACAAGAGCCCAAGACAGATAATTCGACCTTTACAGATTCGGCCCCGGCAATACAGGTTACCGATGGGGAGAAGTCGGGGCTTAATGAGGGCACAGACTCACGTCAGGCCCGTAAGAGGAGCAATACCTTGAGAAAGGCAGATGCTGCTAACTCAAGCCATGTTAACGGCGATAGCGAGACTCAGGCTGGGCCTGAAGCTGGTAACCCTGTTCCAGACATGGTTGGACTAGCCGTGTCGGACGCAGCGGCCCAGCCCCAGAGCGCAAAGCAGCCATTGGGGCCTATGGCTCACAATATGAAGCACAACCAACCACCCGCTCCAGCCGGACATGTCAAGCAGCCACCGGAGCAGGATATCCGACTACCTACATCGTACGCCTTCGACACTCCCACCAGGGCGGTGACCAAGGTCCCACCTACTCAGGCCCAGAAGCATGGCCTGTGCATCCTCGTCAAGGTTTGGCTGCTTATTGCTGGGCTCTATCGCCGGGCATCGTCTTTCGAGGATGCTCACGAGGCATGTGAGGAAGCAGCTAAACAGGTAACGCGCTTCGAAGCTCTTGTGGCGTCACAAGAGACCTCCGCTAGAGCGTTTAGGGAGCGTGGCTGGGGCGTCCCCAAGAGCACTGATGAACTATGGGCAGACGTTTATGCCGAGCGCGGTCTCCAGTCTATCGACCAGACTCGCCCGCATGAAGCGATGGAGCACTTCGAGACGGCGCTTCTCCATTATGCGGATCATCCGAAGGCAACTATTGGTTTGTCAAATCTACTCCTCGACGTCTGGGAAGAGAAGATGCCTTTGCAGCCTCGCAAGCCCCGGCTTGACGCCGGTGTATCGAAACTGTCGCTGTTCCCGAGCAATTCTAGCAAATCATCATCCGAAGACGACGCGAAGCGGTCAAGTCGAGCGCAAAAGCCGCAGGCTAAGACCGTTCCGGATTCAGACGATGAAGAGCCCCGACTCCTGAACCGCATCGCGGCCCGCGAACGTGCCTTTGGGCTGTTGTCCGGGTTGACCAAGAGTGGCAGTGCGTGGGACAACTCCGAGGCGTGGTATGCACTCTCCCGCGCGTACGAGGCGGAGAGTCAGATCCAAAAGTTGAGAGATGTTCTGTGGTGGTGTGTCGAGCTCGAAGACCGCCGACCCATTCGACACTGGTCCAACATCGGCTCTGGTATATACGTTCTCTGATTATTGTATCTACATCGTCAAGGGAGCTGTTTTGTGGCATTTGATTTGACATTTGGTTGCTGTGATACCTCGGTGATATCCTCATGTGCATAATTAGACTACGGACTACTGTATAGAACTGGCAGATCAATGGGGATACTAATTGTGACAATCGCGATAGTTCAAACGGAAAGTAGGGCATCTTTATTTATTTACACATCTTCGAACATGGTCTGATTTCTAGGCCAACGCTCTACCGACATCTACCGGGGTGCCGCAACGGGAGTCCAGGCGGAGTACTTGGGGCGGGTACTGCACTCGTTAGCTTTCGACTTTTAATACTGGCAATCACAAGGAAACTCACGTAGAGTAGGTCTTGAAAGCAGCACGGCTGAGGGTCAGGTTGGGCCTGTGCTCAGGCAGCTCCCAGCTGCGGACACCGGTCTGCATGATCTTGTCGGCAGTGGGGGGAGCATCCACCATGTAAGAGATCCAGGCGTGCCTAGCAAAGTTAGCACGTCGCATCTGGCAATCAATTGCGAGAAGCTCACCAGCCAGGCTCAAGCTGCGAGGGGTCGTATTCCTTCTCCTTGTAGTCGACCCAGCGGGTACGGACTGCGCAGGTCAGCAACAATCATTTATCCAGAAATAGCATCACCCACGAGGAAGCTCCTCCTCCATGTTCTCGAAGTACTTGTTGCCGTAGCGGTCAACACCGATCAAGGTACCGGCCTTGGTATCACCTAGAATCGCATGGCGTTAGTCTAACTACTATAACCACCTGCCAGCAATCCACTCACCAATGTACTATTGCAGCAAATAGCACGTCTCGTCAGTATCCATTTCACTCCTTCATAAGCTTCTTCACTCCCAGCATTCGACAGCATACCTGCATTTGGTGGCCATATTCCTGTGAGGGGATACAGTTAGCAACTCGTCCGTGATGCCCCCGGAAGAACCGTAAAAGATCTCACCTTGAAACCAATCCGTCTCAGATTGCGCAGCGTCCGAATAATGGTCGACATTTTGTGTGCAGAGCAGCGAAAGGGGCAGCAATGGCAAGAACTGAGAACAGGTCGGGTTCGACTTCGACTCTTGCGTCGCTCGCTTTCCGCCCGGAGGTCGAAGCCGCCCCGATCCGGTCTAGCGCGGATCGCTGTTTGCCGGGTTTGCAGCATCCGCTCGTCCTTCGATCTCAATATTTCTCGACTTTCTCCAATAGCACTCCGGCAATTACATTTGATTCCTTGTGGGTCTTCTGCTGCTACGCGCTCAGCTACTAGGGAGGGATCATGTTCGGACGAATTGGTGGTAACACCCTGCGATGTGCTGCGCGCAGACCAGCTGCCCGCAGAGTCCTACTATACGAGCGCAAATTCTCGGCCAACACCTGCCATGCCAGCTCCAGCTCGCCTGCGTCCTCTGTTGCGTCGCCGTTAGGGAGTATCACGACCGAGTTGGATCGGATTTCGCCGTGCTTCGAGGTGCCGGCGTCGCGGATCACGATTCTAGACTCTCCGGCTAACTTCTACAACACGCTCAAGGTACGGGGATATCTCGGACTTTAGTGTCATGGATTGCGACTAATCCTACCATGTGCCAAACTGCAGGACAAAATCAAAAAGGCTCGCAAGCGTATCTACCTTTCTACATTATACATCGGCAAGACGGAACATGACCTGATCGACACGTTGGATCAGGCTCTCGGGGCCAACCCCGAGCTCAAGGTCTCCATCCTCACGGATGCTCTACGAGGAACGCGCGAAACGCCCAACCCTTCATGTGCATCGCTGCTGGCTACTCTGGTTGAGAAATACGGTGCGGATAGAGTGGAAATTCGCATGTTCCACACCCCCAATTTGACCGGGTTGAAGAAGAAATGGGTGCCTCGTCGGATCAACGAGGGCTGGGGTCTCCAGCACATGAAGCTGTACGGCTTTGACGAGGAGATCATCCTGTCAGGGTATGTGCGACGCACCCGGATTACTATATAGACACTGACAGCAACCCAGAGCCAATCTCTCTAGCGAATACTTCACGAGCCGCATAGACCGGTATCACGTCTTCCATTCCAAGGAACTGACCGACTACTACGCCGGCATCCACAATGCAGTATGCAGTCTCAGCTTCCAAGTCCTCCCCGACTCTCAAAACGCCGCTGGCTACCTCCTCAACTGGCCCGTATCGAACGGCGCGCCTTCACCTCTCGACCAACCCGAGGACTTCATCGCCTACTCATCCACCGTCCTGAACCCGCTCATCCAGCCCTCAAAGAACCAGTCCACCCTGCCCCCCAAATCCCCCGACCAGACCTACATCTACCCCGTCGCGCAATTCACCTCTCTCTTCAAACCCAACGACACCTCGACCGAATTCCCCGCCGTGACCACCATCCTTCGTCTCCTATCCACCTCGCCCGCCTTCTCCGGCGCCCGCTGGCTCTTCACAGCCGGCTACTTCAACATCCACCCCGTCCTCTCCTCCCTCCTCATCGCCAGCACCTCTACCTCCCACACCGACTCCACCACCCGGGGCACCGTCCTAACTGCCTCCCCCTGGGCCAACGGCTTCTACGGATCCCCCGGTATCTCCGGCATGCTGCCGGCCGCATACACGCACCTGTCCGCGCGGTTCCTCGACCGTGTCGCCGACGCCCAGCGCACCAACTCCATCCAGCTGAAAGAATGGCGCCGCGGCACTGTCGGGCAGCCCGGTGGCTGGACCTACCATGCCAAGGGCCTCTGGATCACCCTCCCCAAGGAGGAACACCCCAGTCTGACCTTCGTGGGGAGCAGTAACTACACGAAACGCAGCTACAGTCTGGATCTGGAGGTTGGGGCGCTCGTCGTCACGGGTGATGCGGAGCTAAAGCGCAAGTTGGGCGCTGAGACAGAGCGGCTGCAGGAGGATGCGAAGGCCATTTCGCGGGAGGATTTGAGGAGAACGGAGAGAAGGGTGAGTTGGAGGGTTAGGTTGGCGATGTGGATCGTCGAGAAGGTGGGTGGGGCGTTATAGTATACTACCTTTGAGTTGGTTTATGTGTAATATGATGTATTTGATAGATAGATAGATAGTATACCCCCGTGTATAATTGTATCGAATGTACAGTATGGGATGGAAGTTACATCCTACAACCTATATCATAATTCAAGTGTCAGAACAAGAATCATAAGTTCAGACTTGTAGCAGGCAATGTCGAGATTCATTATATCAAACATTATAAGTAGTATGATGTTGACGATCGCTAACCGAGACCAACCGAGTATCTTGAACACAACTACAGTGTTTGCCGAAACGGAGGAGCCTTCGCAAGGATAAACTGTATGAGTTGACTTGATTGTCGAAAACCTTCACGGATGCAAGTGCAATATCATTACGCCTCAAAACCATCACACAAAAGAACGGAGTGCCCAAATAACCCAAACCTGAAACCCTTCCCCTCCATCCAAAGCGCCAGTAGCTAAGTATCTTATACATCCCATCATAATCTTCATCAAAGGTGGTATTTTACTAAGCCTTATGAAGATGTCTTGTATCTCCAGTAGGCTCTCCAAGATACCACTGCCCGAATCTTTTAATCAAGGCCTCGTCCTTCTTGCGAAGATCAAATAGCCGAGTGGTACGCATCACAAACGAAGTACCATTGAAATATGCTTCCATGACTCGAGCATGTTGGGGTCCCATAAAGGAGAAGAGAAGAACCTAATACAGTCACACTTAGTGCTTTGCTTGCCTTAAGAAGAGACGAAGGGCGTAAATGGGAGCTGGAATTACCGGAACAGTCATATGCCCATGTAAGCGACGACGTCTCATCTGAGTATGAGCTAATCTGAGGGCAACGAGGATCTCTCCTTGCAGAAGCTCGTCGTTGATGCTGTTGTTGTTGTTGCCATCTAAATTGCTATAGAGCATGGCTTTCATATGCGGAGATGAATGATCCTTGACCTGATCGGCTCTCATAGTTCCATATTCAGTATATGTATCGCGCCACAGCCCTCTGAAAGGCTCATCGCTGGTACTGTTGGCCAAAGTGTCAAAAGACGAAGTCTACTACTGTGAAACAGCAGGAGAGTTGTTTTGTTTTTGTTTTCGGAGAGTTGCCGTAGAGCTTAGTCGGAGCGGCGCAGGACAAGTTGGAACCCTGTACGGCCATTGTCTACTCTTCTGCACTAGTATGCAAGAATTCTTTGGGTATACTTGCGCGAATGTTTCGAGTCCATACCCAATTGCGAAGAAGTAGTAAGCTGACTGGGGATACTGATCTTTGTTGGTTGTCCAGGAAAGCTATGGTGTATATGAACCCAAAACTTTTATATGAAAGAAAAGTGCTAGATAGTCTATCACCAGGCAAAAAATGCAATCATCTCACGCACACATGCACACCCTAACGCCAATCCCGCATTTTTATTCCCACCAAATGATAGATAAATTGGTATCGTTGCAATCATTCAAGCATACCCATCACTCACATCCCACTCACTCAGGAATCCACTACGCCCTCCCCGACACCTTCCCAGGGACCCTAGCAGGGCCCAATCCCTGCCGAACCTCATCCAGCATGCGAATACCAATCGCCTCGTTACCGTTCTTTCCGCGCTTCGCCTTGGCGCCCTTCCGCTTAGCCTGGGCACTCGTCTTGTCGTCCCACCCGGCGAGGAAGTCATCCATGATGTTGTTGAAGTTGTGGGAAGGACGGACAGCCTCACCGTTCGCATCAACGAGACTCGGTGCCTGGGACGAGGCAGTCGAAATGCCCGACACGGCACTCATACCGGTCATGCCGGTCATTCCACTGACCATGGACATGTTGTCGTCGAACTCGTCCTCCTCGTCGAGGGAGTAGAGGGCCTCGACACGCTCGAAGCGGTCGTCGAGGAGACGGTGGCCCTCTGTACGGGCAAGGGCGGACGAAGTCATGGAGTAGGCGGAGGGGTTAGTGAGGGCGCCCTTGCGCTTCTTGCGGCGGATGGGAGTTCCTCCGACGGTGAAGACGGTCGAGGCGAGGGTGCTGCCCTGCTGGGAGGGGACGACGCTGGGAGGAGCGGCGGGGGCTGCTTTGCCGGACTTGGCGTCTTTCTTGAACTTGGCGAATTCGCGCATCCAGCCTTGGTCTTCGGGGTGCATGTCGGGCGCGGGCTCGTTGTGTTCGGGAAGCTCGCCGGGCTGGTCCTCATGCTCAGAGTCTTGGTAGCGGGCCTTCGCAGCTGTGGTGTCCATCTGCACGGGGGCTTTTTCTGTCGCATCAGACTCCCATCCATCGTCTTCTTCTTCGACGTCGTCGAAGAGAGTATCTTCCCAATCACCCGGGTCCATTTCCTCTGCCCGCGTAGTCAACTGACCGAAGACATCCTCCTCGTCGTCCTCGTCCACGAACTCCTCGTCCTCGAGCGCCTCCAAGGCCTCGCGCAACCGCGGGTCCATGTCCGGCTGGAATCCCGCAATGGCATCGGGCACGTTCTGCTGGTCCTGGTAGGTGGGTTTGCGCACGTAGGAAGAGGCCGTCGAGCGCATGTCGTAGCTGTACATGCTTTCGGCTCCACCGAACTCGCTCCGTCCGTCGTCCAGCGAGACCTGTTTCAAAGCATCCTCCAACTTCAGTCCTTTGCCTTTGTCCTTGCCCTTCGTCTTGGCTTCGACGAAGTAGGCGTCGCCGGCGCCGGTGCCCAGCTCGCGCAAGTGCTGCATGTAGTCATATTGCGAGTCGTCGTAGTAAATGCCGTAGTTGGCGGCTTCACCTTCGTTTTTGCGCGCGGCTGTCCCAAAGGTTTGGTTTAGATCGGCGAGACTTTGGCCGCGGTGCTTGGAGGCGGAGGAAGATTCACTTGGGGCGTTTTTGGGGGGACCGTAGACGGGGTGCAGAACGCGGTCATCAGCGGAGGGGTCGTGAATGAGAGGGTCATGTTGGGAACGGTGGAAGAGTTGGTAGGTAGTTGCTTGTTTCTTGTCGCTGTGGGTTGGGTGGGTTAGTTGGGTACATAAATTGGGTGTATGGGGGGTATGGAGGGACAACGTACATCCACTGCTTCCGGGGAGGCATTCTGGGCGGTAGCCGGTGATCCGGGAGAGATACTCAGGG